AGAGGATTGAAAACATGCACACAAAGGGACTACCTTTGGAAACATCCGTCACACCAGGACACAAGGTTTCGTGCATTGCATCATGCAAAGTTTCCAAAACTTGCTCGCTCAGTTCCGACAGCTCCTGCACATTCCCCACCCGGAACGCCGTGGCACTGTTGGAGGCGATCTTTCCCACCTCCTCGGAGTCGATGTTCCTCACGCCCACTGCAAACACTTTGACGCCTTTCTGGGTGAGTGCCAGGCTCACGTCCTGAGCATCCTCTGCCGACTTGCCTCCCGTGATCACGAAGGCGATCTGGGGAACCCGCTGGTCCAGGCGGCTGCCTGCCTCGGGCACGAAGTGGTTCAGCCGCAGGTGCTCGAGGCCCACCTTGGTGTTCGCGTGTCTCCCCCCTTTGTAGACCACTTTGTTGATGGCATCAATAATCTGCCTCTTGGTGGAAAAGTCCTTCAGGAAGAATTCGTCTGTGGGGTCGGAGTTGTACTGGACCAGCCCTACTTGGATGGAATCACCCTCTTCATAAACCGTGTCCACAATTTCGGACGCGAAACGGAGAACTTCCTGGAAACTGTCCCTCCTGAAGTTGATGGAACCATCCAACAGGAACACAATGTCTGCTTTCTTCTTCTCTAAAATTGATTGAAATGAAAAGGAGAGATTGGGTTTCCATACCCAGAACATAAATACACAGAGTGCAAATTAAATAACTGAAATAAGACATTCCTCGTCATTCATTCATAGCAAAAGCCTTTTCTCTGTTCCTTGCCTTTCTAGTTCTCAAATTCAGAGCCCCCAAATATTATGCTAGAAACAAGGAGATAAATGATAAATCATCTAAATAAAAAGGAAAGGAGAAATGAAAACCCAGTGAAACAGAGCCCCAGTTCTCCCATGCAAAATGGTATCATGTGAGGAATTCAACAGGGACCTGGATTCAACAGTCTGTATATCTCAGGTATTTAAAGAAATACCATTAAACTCTTTCTTTCTGGTCAAAAATAAACGATGTCTGGCAGGAGCAGGGACAGATGTGTTAGGGGCCAGGCAAGGAAAGGCTGGGAGAAAATAGGTTGGAAAATGGGAAGCAGACCCTATGACCCTTTGGAGGATTGTCTGAGAGCTTTGTGGAAGCCCGGCTGACAATCAGTGGCATATGGGAGTAATTTCTTGATTGTAATCAAGCAGTCGAGATGGAGTTGAAAGGAGGGAAAACTGGGGCCGAGCCCGTGGCGCACTCGGCGCTCCCGCCGTGGGTTCAGATCCTATATAGGGATGGCCAGTGCGCTCACAGCGCTCACTGGCTGAGCGCGGCGCGGCCGGGCTCAACAAGGACACAAAAAAAAAAAAAAAAAGGAGGGAAAACTGGAGAGAGTGTGAGAGGTGCGTGATGTGCCACAACCAGCCTGAAAAGGGGCAGTGAGAGAGCGGGATAGGAATACAGATCCCCTTGGAAAACGACCCCCACCACTGGCTTTGAAGGTCTGGACGAGGCACAAGGAGAGATGTGGGCTGGTGCAGGGACTGATTTGCTCTGGACAGCCACAAAGATGAGAGCCAGGAACAGTAGACACTGTAGGTGGAAAGCTTCAAGTCCCCTGGGACATGCAGTCCAAGGAGGGAGGGGGCGCATGGACCATGGTGGGTATCCCGCCACTGGGCATGGGATGACTTCAAAGATGTCATCCTACTCTGAGCCAATGAGTCTGTGATCAATCCTGAATGCAACTTACAGACCTTTCAATATGGAACCTTTCAATGGGCTACAATCAGCCTCAGGAGTGGCGGATGATCAACGATCATGTGTTCTCTGGGACATGTTTCCTCCCCCCCACAATTTCAACTGAACTATTTTTTCCAGTATTTAATTTCTAGTATTATCTGCAGAAACAACCCTGAGAGAAGAAAATTATTTAAATAAAGGCTAACTATTTTTTTCAATTAAAAAAAAAAAAAAACGTGTTACGCTCTGTAGTCATGGGTCACATTGCTCGTACCTGGCCGTGAAAGAGAAGGGATGTCCACTCCTGGAGGTGCAGGAGTGGCTCCAGAGGGTCCAAACGAGTTCATGACCCTTTCTTCTATGTTGGGAAGCTCTCTGAACTCTCTCACCGTGAAGACCAGTCTGGGGTTGTTGGTGATGGTCTGCAACTCTGTTCTGTCCATGTTCCGGTCTCCTACTCCTAAACTCACAATCCCTGAGGAACTTATCACCTGTGCAAACTTGGAAACATCATCCTGGGATTTTCCACCCAGAAACAGGACCAGGTGTTGGGGTACCCCATCTTCTATCCGGCTCCCAGCAGACTTAACAAAGAAATTTCTTGCCACGAATTCCAGAGCTTTGCCGGTGTTCAGTGGAGACCCGCCTTTGAACCTGAGGCGCCTGATAGCATCCAGCACAGGGGCCTGGGACTTATAGGTCTTCAGGTAGAACTCTGGGAAGACGTCATTGCTGAACTGCACAATCCCAACTCTCACTTTATTGGGGCCAATGTTGAGTCTTCGAACAATCCTGCTAACAAAATCTCGAATATGTGCAATGCCGTCGGGCCTAACGCCATCAGAGCTGTCGATTAGAAAAACAATGTCTGCAGCATCACTCTCAACAGCTGCAGGTAGAAGAAAAAGAGAGGAAAATTCAGTATACAACTAGCCCTCATCTGGTTTTGTTTCTGCTTCTGTTTCTGAACTTCTCATTATGTTGCACATAATATCAATCAACATTAAAATTATATCTCAATACACGTGTTGTTCATCTCTTAATGCTCTTAAAATTAATAATTAAAAATTAGGATTTTTTTCACCAAAACAATTTTCGCTTCTTAAAATACTTTAAGTTTTCCAAAACTTTCTGAGTTTACTCATTTTAATTTTGGCTTTGTGATCTGAATTGCTATTAATTTAAAAAATGTAAGCAGCATTTAGAAACTGATCCTGGGTTACCATAATTTACAGAATCATGAACCATTATTACCAGAAGAAATGGAGATCACCAGGGCCAACTTCTTTGCTATACAAGGAGAGACAGTGGAGGTCAAAGGTCCTTACCTTGCCGAAGACCTTCACTTAGCTAATGACAGCCCTGAGAATCCCGCCTCCATCTCAAAAAGCACTGCCTCTCCCCAGGCTTCACTGCCACCCCATCTCAACCCCTTGGGGTCAGGGACACATAGAATACAACACTACATGTAACCAGTCACATTAATGCTCCCCAGGTATTTGCTTCCCCCTGTTTCTTTTTGCTTGCGCATCTGTAGCATTTACCCACAGTTTTCATTTTCACTATTTCTACGGGTTAAATGTGTCCTCCAGAAGTTCATGTGTTGGAAACTTGATCCCCATTCTAACAGTGTTAAGAGGGTAAGAAATCCAATTATGGTATTTGAAAGGGGGGCCTTTAAGAGTGATTGGATCCAGGGCTGTGTCCTTGTGAGTGGATCGATCTGTTCGTGGGGTAGTGGGCGTGGTCCTGGTTGCTCTAAAAGGAGAAGAAGTGAATAGTTTAACTCTCTCTTGCTCCCCCCGTTCTCAGCATGTGACACCCTGCATTGCTGGAGACAAGGCCCTCCCCATGTGTGCTCCCTGGTTTTTGGACTTCCCAGCCTCCAAACTGTAAAAAATAGATTTCATTTCTTTATAAATTACCCAGTTCAAGCTATTCTGTTATAAGTAACAGAAATGGACTAATACGACTATTATTTCCCCTATTTTTAACTTTGAAGTTAATCAAAAAGTCTTGGGAAAGATGAGCCACATTTTCCTATTAGAATTCTAAGTACCTCTCAGATGCCATTTTATGAAACAAATACGTTGCCACTCAACCAATTTCAACCTGCCTTTTGCTCCCTATATTGCCGGGCTACTTACAACAGAAAAGCAGTGCAGAGAGAGCTGAGCAGATCATGTCATTAAACCATGTACTCTGAGAAAGGGAAAAGCAGCCCCTGACATTAGGGAGCTGGCCTGGCACATGCAGTCTCAGGGCTCTGCTGTCGAGCACAAATGATTTCACAGAACATCAATGTCACACAAGGCCACTCTGTGACCATGATGGGACAAGACAGAAATGAGATCCCTCTGTAATCACATCTGGACACAGACATATAGAAGAACATTGTCCAGACCACAAAAATGACAAACACCCCCCATCCTAGCTAAAGGAGTGTCCGCTGCTTCTTTACCCATCTTTACCATGTCTTTCTTCCTTCTGGATAAGATTTATTAAGATAGCCAATTGTAGCATTACCTCCACTTCTTGACAGCATTCAGCCCAGGCCAAAGTCCCACTTCCTAAGCCTTGCACAAAATGACCCACCACAAGCCCAAATCCTACAAGTCCCTTCTCACAGCCTCTCGCTGGGAAGCCCCTGGTTGGTCATGCTGTGCATTCTCCTGCACCGCCCAGAGCAACAGACCCAGCATGCTCAGTCACAGAGGTGTCCTGGCAGCCCCTGGCTGGTGGGCACGGACACAAGAAGGTGACAGAGACCTGCCTTTATTTTAACTCAGCTTGGCATGAGTACCTGGGCCTAGGAGCCTACTGTTCTTCATATTAAAGATACTGTGAGGAGAACCAGCAGCAGCAGCCGCCTCACCTGGGGGAGGGTAGCGCATGGTCGCCAGGATGCGCTGTATCTGCTCCGAGGTGAGGGTGCTGATGGGGGTCAGCAGCTTCTGCTCCAGGCTGGGCAGCTCCCTGAAGGTGCTCACCGAGAACACATACTCAGGGCTCAGAGAGATCTTCACCATCTCCTCCTGGTCCGCGTTCCTGGCTATCGCGAAAGGTGCCACACCGAACTGCTTCAGCTCCACGGCTGGCTCATCCACCTCGTCGTCAGACTTCCCGGACAAGATGAGGACCAGGAACTGAGGGACACCCTCTTCAATCCGACTCCCCAGGGGCCTCTTGAAGATGTTCCTGGACACGTACTCCAGGGCACCCCCGACGTTGATCTGCCTCCCTCCCGTGGGTCTCAGCCGCCGCACCGCGTTCTGCACCTCGTCCTTGCTGGAGTGGGCGTTCAGCAGAAACTCCACCCGGGGGCTCTCGCTGAACTGGATGACCGCCACCCGGGTCGTGTCGAAGCCCACGTCCAGGTAGTCCACCAGTCTCTCGATGAGGGTGCGGATGTACTGAAACTCAGGGGCAGCGTTCTGGGACCCATCGATGAGGAAGACCACGTCCTTCTTGCCACTAACACCTGTGAACCAAACGCAAACATGGGCTTCACCTTCGTGGGCACCAGATTCTTTGCGTTCATGAACCACCTCCCCGTTCATCATGGGGTCACCACCTGACGGGCAAAGAATCCTAGTACTGACTCCTACAGTTCAAACATGAGTCCAGGGCACTTCAGCGTCCACACGTCAGAGAGGAGGAACCAGCAAAGGATCAGGGAGAGTCACCCCAAGTGAAGCGGGAAACAGAAGAGCCACGTCTACACCAAGTGAGGATGGGATTTTGGGAAGGGGGGCCCAACCATGGCAGATGCCACTCAGATCAAGTAGGATGGCACCTGAGGTTCTGCCGGATGGAGAGACCTTGACAAAAGCACTTTCTGTGGAGGAGTGAGGGTGGACAACGGGCTGGGGCAGGTTCAGAGAGGGCGAGGGAGCGGAACCGTGCACAGCATAGACAAGTCTTCAAAAGGAGATGGGCGCTGCTGGAGGGGCAGCAGGGCACCGAGAGAGAGGCTCTAAGAGAGAAGAAGAGAGCAATGCATCTTTATCGTGAATGGAACCATCCAGTACAGCGGAGAATGGACGTGACAAGAGAGAAGAATTACAGATGGCGGGTGACGGCGCAGGAGAGAGGAGAGGGTGCCGGAAGCAGAGACGGGGTGTCCAGGGAACAGCGGGAC